AGGCCTCGGACTCTTCTCATACTTCTTCTCCTTCACCATCTACTTCTGATTTAGTTTCCCCTCTTTCTCTTGTCACTGAAACCGGAAGCATTTCCTCTCCAACTCTGCCCCCCGTCTCTGGCCTCACCCTTGTTACGGCTGCATCAAACATGGGTCCCGGCATCGCTCCCACGATGTACAATGTTGCATCAAAATTTTCAGGCTCGAACGTCTCTGTCGACCAATTCTTCGCGGATGTGGAAGACACAGTAATCCATTCAGGGGTTCAGCGGGAGTCTGAACATTTTGCGACATCGTGCCTCGTGGCGGCGAGAATGCGCCTTAACCACGAAATTCCCAGAGTGGCTGAAGCGTTAGACTCTTTTAACCATTTGCCGAATGATCAAAAGTCGTATGAAATGTTAAAGAGTATTTTCACTTCAACATTTTCGAGGCAGACGGAAAATCACCATTTAAGACTGGTAGAGTTGTTGGAGGTCAAGCCTACTTCATTTTCAAAAGATGATCTTTCGTCTTATTTGAATAAGTTTCGCGTGAAGCTGATGCAATGGGCTCAGTCTATCCCGGGATCAGACGCGTCGGTGTGCCTCAAGCAATGCGTTACGCAGAGCGCATCGCACGCGTCAGTTCTGGAACATTTTGCAAAAGCGTGGTTAGTCTCTTCTATTTCTCCAGCTGTGCGCAAACGAGTTTGGGATAAAGTTGACAGTGCTTCATTCGATAAGCTTCCTGAGGTCCTCGCAAATGAGATGTCGGATAAAGGTGGAAATGTGCAAGTGGTTGCAAATGTTGTTCGGACAGGGAAAAGTAAAGGAAACAATTATAAATACAATTCGGGGCGGACTGAACCACCGCGGCGAGAACCGCCAGTGCGGACGAAGGCAGGAAACAGACGTGCCTCGCCCGCACCTGCGTACCGCTGCGCCGAGCAGCCCCCCACTCCCTCACCCTCGCGTGCGGATTCCGAGCCACCCTCGGGCGCGCAATACTTTGTAGTACCTTCTCCTTCGGTAGCTCCTCGCAAAGTCCCACGACCACACGTGGCTAACTGGGCACCGAAGCCTGGGCAATGTCGTAGATGCTTGAGGATGCATCGCCGACCTGGGTGCTTTGCTAAACAGTTCTGTCCATACTGTAACAAGCAGGGTCACGCATTTAATGAGTGCACGTGGTTCCCGGATCAGGTGGCGATCACCCTTAAATTTATCGCGAAGATGAACAAGGAAGGAACTTACAATAAGAGAGTAGTTAATTTTTTAGAGGAGGATATAACAGGTTTCGAACCGGGAGAGGAAGTGCATTGGTCTCCGGTGTAGTTGCATCGTCTTCTCGGTTTCGTGTTGCTAGTGCTGGTATACCGAACACAGGAACGGGACCCCCTCTCCTACCTGGTAAGCTTAAGGGAAGGACGCATACTTTTTTATTGATACGGGAAGTTGCGTCAGTCTCGTGAGTGAACGGGTATTAGAGGATTTTCAGCTCTCGTCTCCGGTATCGCCGGCCGATGTTTGTGTTACTGGTGTAACAGGATCGCAGCTAGGTGTTGTTGGAACTACGTATGTAACTTTGAGGTTTGGAAACATCCAGTTTCCTCATAAATTCGCTGTAGTAAAGGGATACCATAGTTTCCCCGGCCACATGCTTCTTGGCCATGATTTTCTATATCGTTCTGGTATGGTCCTGCGACCGCAGCAGAATGAGGTAGAATTTCAAGGTCATGTTTATAAGCTAAGTGAGCCGAGTTCCGTTTGGAAACACCCGGACCCTTTTCACCCTAGCATGCTTGTTTCAGCTTCTAACGCAAACAGCAACGCGTCTCGTAGGATATCGAACATGACCACACGCTCGGACACATCATTCTCCTCCCCTCCTTCCCCTCCTCTGACCTCTCCACCTTCCTCCCCTGTCTCTTCCTCGCGTCTACCTCGTTCCCCCTCTGTCTCTCCCCCACCTCCCTCACATTCCTTGACTTCTACGATTCCTTCTAGGTCTCGTTCTGTTCGTCATGGAACTGCTTCATCTCAGCATGCTACAGATACTTCACGCACACATCTTGCTGCCACATCTCACACATCATCCCGCTCATCAAAACACCACATGTGGGTTGACAACGATGGTTTGGCATACTTAGTGGCGCGGGAGTCTGTAGTAATTCCGCCTTTCCATGATGTTCTGATTAACGTGACGGCGAGGCAAGGGGAATATGACCCGCAGCTGCCGAGAGAGGTCAGCTGCCGGCGACCACGCCCCTAGGCAGGCAAAGGGAGGAATGACCTAGTGTCTCAAGGAACAGGCAGAACGAGTCTAGGCCTCATACGAACAACACCGTCCCTTCTGGCCTTCCGTAGGACCCGACGACGCCCTATCTGCCACGTCCACGTTACCAACCTATATCTCCGTTACTACGTGTCTGCTTAGCAATAAAGTGTGTTAACAGATACTGAGTTTTCCTCTGGACCTCCAGATAATATAGTGGATCTCTATATAATTGAATGAGAGA